CACTCCGGCTGAGAATCGCCCCGAGTGGCCCCATAGACTTACATTCAAAGATGTTTTTTTCGACCGGGGGGCGCTGCAATGCATTCTCTATGGCTTCCGGGAGGGCTCGCCCTAACGTGCTCACGTCATCATACGTAAGCACGTTTCATCCAACAATATAATTTGTTGCCACCTAGTGGAATCTTTAATAAAAGAAACTTGAGTGGATTGTATTAATAGTGAGTATAGAAACAAACAAGATGTATTGTAAGAGTCACTTTATTTTTCATTAATATTAAAGAAGTGAAGTTGCCTTTACATGCTTAAGCTGTTAATTTATCCATTGCATGGGTGGACCTTATCCTTATCAATCATCCAGACATTTGCCCCCCTTGAGAGATTTTGCAGGAGCCGCCACTGGTTGTAACGATTGCCCGACATTTCGCTCCGCATGCTTGGGAGGATGAATCCGGTTTTCGGAGCTCAACGTCGAACGTTGTGACAAACGACGTGTCGCTGTACATCCTGGAAAGACATCGGAGAGTCGCAGACGCAACGTGGCAATGTGGCTACGATACGTTCACGAATCGTTGTTACGGACAAAGTGAAAGACAATTCGGTTTCGAGAATGCTAATGAAGACATTTAAGTTCACGATTTCAGTTTGAATTCATATTTAAACGTGTTACGTACATTTTCAAAAATATGAGATTGGATTGAAGACAATTACGCGCGTGCATTTGTTTATATGCCGCATCAAAAATATGAAAGCATTGACAATAAATGTTGCATCAATTCAACACTACACAGGCAATAGCCACAGCACTCAACATCACTGTGCAGCATTTCACTTGTAATATTCTCTGCTTTTCTGCATTGGACGCATGAGAAAAAAAAACACGAAATATTCCTAATTTATTAACGGCACGTATGATTATTTTTAAATGACGAATTAATGACACGTTTCCAGATACAAGTTTATCAAAATTATAATGGAAGTGCTAATAATTATGCTTCCAGTGGTAGAAGGGATGGAATTAATATGTTTGCAAGAACAAAGTGGGACCTTGGCCAAGGGAGAGGATGGATGGACGAATGCATAAGAAGTCTTCTTCTAATTGGCTCTTCTGGGCCCTTACGGAGAATTCAATGTATTCGTACATCAAGCTTGAAGGGATACGGTGATCTAATTGTACGCACGGTACAAAACAAACTGCAAGTATTAAACCTCAGGCTTGAATACATGACAGGTTCCTGCAGGAAATGCGTGCAGCACACAATGTGGTGCAGGGGGGAGGAGGAGGAGGGAGTGCTTTACAATCCTGGCGTGACCATGAGTCACGCCGACTAGAGCTCAGTCAGGCCCTCTGCCCTCTCTCTCTCTACACTGAAGAATGACCATTGCCCTAAACATCAACCTGCTGTATAGTTTTCCATTATAAACCAGACAAACTTGCTGAGTGTGTTTTTTTTATTTGACAATCACAAGATTGCGAGTTCGTATTCCTTTGCTGCATTGCCTCGGTCAGACGCCGTTCTACGACCGATAAAAAAACAATCTTTACTGCGTTGGCACATCATCGGTACTGGTGCTGTGGAGAAATTGGCCCTACCATAGGAATGTGGAATTCTTACCACTGACTCAAGCTCGCCAACGTGGATGAACACAGCCCTGCACTTTTTTAAAGCGTTTTTTCTATGCACGGCATAAATGGTTTGCCTCTGTGTGTATTTTATATGTGACAACTACATCTAAATAACATTAATGTCACTGAAGTAGGCAGCCAGACGCGAGGGAGGTTTACGAAATAAAATCATTTGCAATGGAGACGATGCAGGCAATGAAATCATTATCATCATCGTGATTTCAAATAAAAACAAAGCTCGTTTGTCAGCAGTACGTGTGGATGCGTGCCTGTGTGGCATCTTCAGTGTAATCTCTCTGTAGATCTATAAAATAAGTTCCCTGGAGATGTCAAGGGGGGAAGGGATGTTTTACAGAAGGCTGAGTTTGGCTGTGGTGCTGGATATCAATCAGATGAAATATGTGACATTCATGCCCCTTGTACTCATCCCATGTGTGCTAAGTCTCACCTTGCCGTGCAGTGTCCTTGCTGCACGTGTGACAGATTTACGTAATTAGTCTTAGGCAGATGCCATTTATTATGATGTTCTTACAGCTAAATCTTGCAACTAGGAGAAAGATTTGCGTGGATTTTGTGTGTACACACACGTATATAAATGTGCTGTATTGTGTGAGTGTGTGACCACATGCAGTGAACCTATACCACTCTGTGGGTAGTCAACAGTGGATGTTCTATCGAGAGCCATTCTCACCATAGCAGCAGGAAAATTCTTCCATTCCTGGGGCTGAGCATGAGAATGATACCTGCCCACCCTTCAACCTCGACAGGGGATAACTGACTGCTGCGACTAATTGAATGAGTAAAAAGGTGATGTTGAATAAATAATTGCTCCCTAATTGTTAGCGCATGAATAGGTCAGAAAATATAGCCAAGGTCAAGTTGAAGTCTTTATTTTCGAGTGAGTGTGAGATGATGTTTACTGTTGCAAGGCCTGAGCCAGTGATGAAAAATTTGTCTGCATTTCTACGAATCATATTCTGGAAATTACCAATCAATTTCTATTGCCATTGCACCTAGGCAGGGGAGACGATGACAAAAGACTCCGTGGAAATCGATGCGCTCGGTATAAATTAATGCAGTCAGCTAAGCCCTCGCACAAAGAGGCCTAAATAAGTTTTACAAATATTTAAAAATAACCATTTAGAAAAAGAGAAGAGCCTCGTTATATTACTTAATAAAGTACCAACATAAATATTAAGATGGGGTTGGACAGGGGGATAGTGATGACTTAGGCGAGGCCTTCATCCAGCAGTGGATAGATCACGGCTTATGACGATGGCTGGAGCCTGTGTTCACATAGACCAGCCACTACTGACTTCCATAAAAGTTGGGACTTTATCACCCGACACACCAGTGGGCTGAAGTCGTAACTAATCGGCGCGTTGTTTACTTGACAAACCTTACTGGCACCACCAAGTTGTTTTTTGCTCCTAAGATATTTCTTTTGTTAGGACATGTGCATTGAAAGCCCGCGAAATGTAAACACGATAGAAGATGAGTAATAACCAAGAGTAGGTGGCTTAAAACATTACGGTTTTCTGAATGTTTGAAACTTCATTTCTCCTCCATGTGGATTACGACGGCGTTCGTAATTAAATGCAAAATTTTCATGAGCGTTTTGCTCTTGGCTTTCAATTGTTTAACAATTGAGACCAATCGTTTCATCAATTTTCTTGTTTAAATTACATGCCCTTCTTGCCGCTGGCCTTGCATTCGCTTCAATTACCTGAAGGTTGTTTCTATGTCATCTCGTGAAGGGGGGGGGGGGGGGAATTGCTCCGCAGGTTAAACTTGGCCACTCGAGAGCTGTTTGTATGACAGTTAAATTGGCAATAAATTGTGGTGCCTCATACATACGGCGGCGAATGTGCAATATTTGTGTCACCTACACAGGTTAAAGTGTTGCATTTGACACGAATCCAATTTATTCATTGTCAAAATTAAGTAGCAACTGTCCTTTATTGACATTTTTAACATTATTGAAATGGCTCCATTCGAGCATCCCAGAGATGGTAGGCGCTTAACATTAAGGAGCAAAAAATACCACTTCATCGACCCAATATAGCAGCACGGACGAGAATCTGGAATGGAAACGACTGCCGCTGCTTTAGAATTTGGGATGCACATTTGTAAGCGAGGTTTTGCCACATGATGATTGCCTACAGCTCCATCGGTCACATGATTCTAAATCTTGAGAGGAATCGTTTGAGAAGCAGATCTGTAGGGGAGGACCGATACATGCATCCTTGCATCTATTAATATAATCCACGAAGCTCACAGTACAAGCGTGTATTATTCAATGACATATATTTTGTATTACTCTCTGTAAGATACTGACACATTGTCGTGACTAATATTCAATCACCTGTTGAGAATAAAGTGAGGGCAGAAGACATCAATGGGATATCTATAAAGTGATCACCTGAATCTTGACTTAAAGCTTTCGTGACTGCAGGAATGCATATTCTTTGGGTCTTTCGGTAAAGCCACGTAGATTGAAAAAAAATAACAAAATCACGACGTTTCGATCGCAACACAAGCAATCGTCATCAGGTGAAAAAGAGGGGGTTATTCGCAATCATCATCATCTGATGACGATTCACTTGTGTTGTGATCGAAACGTCGTGATATTGTTATTATTTTATTTTTATAATGTTTTCTATACGCGTGGACTTTACCGAAAGACCCAAAGAATATGATCACCTGAAATTGATAAATAAATAATACGAAAGGTGCAATGAGGTTATACTCCTTTTGGTTTAGCAACATCCTCATACATCACACCTAGGCGCGTGCTCCTCCGATGAGCATCGTTGGCTCCGTGCGGTGCGACAGAAGTTCAACATACACACACACACAAGGACATTGTGCGATTGGAACAATGAGTGATGAGGGAGAACAGGAGAATCGGAGCACAGAGTGGCAGGGAATGGCGGCAGTGGTGGCGGGTGAAGGACAAATTGGTAAGCGGGTGGGGGCTAGAGTTGCCACTTACAAGGTAGAAAAACACCGGGACATCATATGAAGGATATCTCACAATACTATGAGGAGGATATTATTACACGTGAGTACATCTTGAGTGTTGTATTATTATGCAACTGACAAAAACCGGGACTCTTAATGCCCTGGGAAGACGTACAGAATTTCCAGGGACAGATACCTCAAAACGAGGACTGATCCTGGGGAAAACCAGGAATATGAAAACTATAAGAATATGAAAACCAGGAATAGGAGGTAGCTTGTGTTTTGAACGTCCAAAATCAAACAATGCCATTGACCCACGTGAACGACCATCAGGATGCGACGATGACCACTGGCCAACAGGGCCTCCGCCTAACCAGCAGGCCGCCACCCTCTGTGTGTGCCCCCTCGGCAGGGCATGATGTACCTGGAGGAGCACCGCTTGGTGCACCGTGACCTCGCCGCTCGGAACGTGTTGGTGAAGACTCCGCAGCACGTGAAGATCACAGACTTTGGGCTGGCGCGTCTGCTGGACGTGAACGAGGTGGAGTACCATGCCGACGGTGGCAAGGTACGTGATGGACCGTCTGAACACTGGGTGTGGTGGGTACTGGCCTGCAAGATATAGTGGCTTGGAGGCAGGGGTCCGTGGACTACACAGAGATGGAGCCATCAGGCTTGAGGCACGCCTGAATGGAAATGCGTCTCTGTGAATAAGCAGCACATCAAGTAAATGTAGGTTTAATTTGCTTCCTACCTTCCATTTTCTCAACAAATTTGGACATTTAAATATGACCATTATTATTTGGCAGTTATTTTAACGCAGGTTTTTAGGTTCTGGTCTGGAAAATGGATTCAGGGACTTAATTTCATCGTAGTAGCGAGAAACACACCACTACTCGACTGATATATGCGTGGAAGAACACTTTAGTGGAAAAGCGGAACAAACTTTACAATTATGTCTTGCACAAATCCGCGTGAGACGATACGCATCTCCTGCTAACAGCCCTGCACCGGTGGTGAAAATTCCACATTCCTGTGCCAGGGATCATTCTATCCATTGGACAACCCCCGTGTACTTTCCAAAGGATAGTACTTTTTATGAAAAAAAAATAGTATTCTAATCACACTGTCGCCTGGCCACATCAACATTTTCACAACATTACTCTGAAATATTTGGTAGACGCCTTGACTTTGATTGTTGATAATTGTGTAATAATTCCTATGACCTATTTCTGCATTCCATTGCTAATTGTCTCCCGTTAAAAAATGTAAAAAGAAAATAATAAACATGAAGAACTGCTGGCACATGTGTTTTGATCAATACACACCAGGAATCCCATTCTGATTCGCACATCTATACATCATCTATACATCATCTATACATCATCTATACATCATCTATACATCATCTATACATCATCTATACATCCATACAAATGCCTCCATGAGAGTCAATGAGGTTGACTTCAGTGCTAATGAGGCATGCATGGGCAGTTGTATAAACACCGTCATGGGACATCACATGTGGAAGATGCCATCTCTTGCACTGACACACCTATAGACTCATTATAAAGCAGTTCACTAACCCAAAACTGATGCACAGATGGACTGTGCATATTGAACCTCGCGGAGAGGAATCGGGCACAAGACTGGCCCTGAATTAATTTGAAGAATTGTCTAAATCCCTTAAGTGCAGGTGATGGCTATGAAAATGACATTGTCATGGATGAAAGGAGTTAAACTTGGAGCTAATCAGTGTGCATGTGTATGTACGTGCTTGCTTGTTTCTGTATACGTGCATGTATTCATACAGTATGTGTTTGTGCGCACATTTGCCGAGGTGTGTGTGTGTGGGGAGCAGTAGTGTAGCGGTTAGCGCTCTGCGCTGTGAACCCAGCAGCCTCAGTTCGATTCCCGCTCACAGCCATCACCAGTGACGATTATCTGAACCGGTCCTAGGCCTCCCCTAGGTCGACTCAGCCTGAAATAGGTATCTGGGGCAGTGTGTAAACATCGCCACGAGGGAGACAAAGGCGGCCGTGCGTGGTGCTGGCCACCCACCCCCTCGTGTGCCATGCCAGCCTTAATAGGTGCTCGCTAACAGCACTTTCCCCAACGGTCTTTTAAGGTTACACAGGGGATCTTTGTCTGTTTTTGTTTCGTGTGTATTCGGGGGAAACATGCAACGTTGTGCTTAAAGAACTGCAATCTGAGGCACCTGGGTTGAATTCCTAACCATGCACGCTACAGTGACAAATGGCATCATTACCAGGCATGGCCTCCCCAAGGCCAACTTGGCCTGAAATTGGTATCTAGCGCAGCGTGTTAAGGACCAGCACTGGGAGGCGGGACGATGCGAGACGTCGTGCATCTCTTGCGGAGAGCCACAACCACACCAGGTGCTCCCCAACGTAGCCCTTTACACCGCTCGATTTGCTTAACAAGCTAATATGTCACTTTTATTCATTGCCACGTTGGCTTAGGGTGTGCATGCATATGTATGTACGTACACATACACATTTGTATTATAAGGAGATGCGGCGTGGTGTTCATCACATTGCATTTCTTGTGACTGTCGGTTCAGTTCCAAGTTGTGCACCCAAGGCCCATTTACATTCTGATTCCAAGGCTTCATTTACATTGTCACAAAGTGTCTACATCATCCAACTCATGTTTGCTGGTAATAATCCCAAATGGCTGCCCGGAGATCCATGGTGTAAACTCTACATTGCCATGGTGCGTGCCAGTGGTTATCAGCAACGGGACGAGCGCTCTTCATACCCCACAACCCATTGTGTTGACCCTGAAGCAACGAAGAGCTGAGTCAACCCTCAAATGGAATATTAACTCAGCCTTACAATTGGACGTCGAGCAATCTGTGGCATTGCACCACCCAGCCAGATTCGATTTGGTTGACTCGACTAAAACAGTAGTCAGAATCCACAATACTTTCGTGAATTTACTGCTGGATGTAGGCCTCCCCGCATTGTGTGTCGGTTGACCATACTTCACCGCCCTGGTCAATGCTCGTTGGCGATAGAGATGGGGGGGGGGGTAAAACTCACATCTCATGATACAAAATTACTAGCCACTGCGCCACCACTCCATGGAGTATATTGAGTTCATCACCGAATATTTTACAAACTTCACAGACAGGTACCATACTTTCGATTTAAAGCTTTCGTGACTGCAGGGATTCATCTTCTTGTTTCTTTCGGTAAAGTCACGTAGAAGGGAAGTAATAAAATAATAAAAATAAAACATAATAAAACAATTCTCACGACGTTTCGGCTACAACGCAAGCAGCCGTCTTCAGGTGAAGAATGAGACACTACCAAACTAGGAGCTTATATATAAGCTGCATTGGGGGTTGAAGAGCGCCTTAACAAAAAGAATGTGCATGTGAAGAGGAATTTAGCATATTCATGGAAAATGCGTAGGCGTTGGGCGGGGGGGTGTCAAAGTCATATTATGCCCATGCATTATGCAGGATCAGCAGCAACCAAGGGGGGTGCAGGGATTAGCAGTAACAAAGGGAAGGAATGTTAATGATATGTAGCTGCAGTTACTCAACAACCACGTAGAAAACTAAAGTATAAACTACATAAGTATAGTAAGTATACTGATGGTGCGATGCAGTTTATACTTTAGTTTTTTATGTAGTTTATACTTTAGTTTTCTACGTGGTTGTTGAGTAACTGCAGCTACATATCATTAACATTCCTTCCCTTTGTTACTGCTAATCCCTGCACCCCCCTTGGTTGCTGCTGATCCTGCATAATGCATGGGCATAATATGACTTTGACACCCCCCCGCCCAACGCCTACGCATTTTCCATGAATATGCTAAATTCCTCTTCACATGCACATTCTTTTTGTTAAGGCGCTCTTCAACCCCCAATGCAGCTTATATATAAGCTCCTAGTTTGGTAGTGTCTCATTCTTCACCTGAAGACGGCTGCTTGCGTTGTAGCCGAAACGTCGTGAGAATTGTTTTATTATGTTTTATTTTTATTATTTTATTACTTCCCTTCTACGTGACTTTACCGAAAGAAACAAGAAGAGGTACCATACTTTGAATGAATGTTCATGCTGTTATTATTATGTACGTGGTTGTATTAGGACCGATGGCTTTGGAAATGATTCCACTAACGCATCGAATATTGTTGTGTTCTCTAGATGCCCATCAAATGGCTCGCCCTGGAGTCGATACAATACCGGACCTTTACCCATCAAAGCGATGTCTGGAGCTACGGTGAGTGTGGTGGAGCTACGGTGAGTGTGGTGGAGCTACGGTGAGTGTGGTGGAGCTACGGTGAGTGTGGTGGAGCTACGGTGAGTGTCGTGGAGCTACGGTGAGTGTGGTGGAGCTACGGTGAGTGTGGTGGAGCTACGGTGAGTGTCGTGGAGCTACGGTGAGTGTGGTGGAGCTACGGTGAGTGTGGTGGAGCTACGGTGAGTGTCGTGGAGCTACGGTGAGTGTGGTGGAGCTACGGTGAGTGTGGTGGAGCTACGGTGAGTGTGGTGGAGCTACGGTGAGTGTGGTGGAGCTACGGTGAGTGTGGTGGAGCTACGGTGAGTGTGGTGGAGCTACGGTGAGTGTGGTGGAGCTACGGTGAGTGTGGTGGAGCTACGGTGAGTGTGGTGGAGCTACGGTGAGTGTGGTGGAGCCACGGTGAGTGTGGTGGAGCCACGGTGAGTGTGGTGCAGCTACGGTGAGTGTGGTGGAGCTACGGTGAGTGTGGTGGAGCTACGGTGAGTGTGGTGGAGCTGCGGTGAGTGTGGTGGAGCTGCGGTGAGTGTGGTGGAGCTGCGGTGAGTGTGGTGGAGGTACGGTGAGTGTGGTGGAGGTATGGTGAGTGTGGTGGAGCTACGGTGAGTGTGGTGGAGCTGCGGTGAGTGTGGTAGATCTGCGGTGAGTGTGGTAGAGCTGCGGTGAGTGTGGTGGAGCTACGTATGAGTTGTTAGCAGTGGCTTCTTACCAACATTCAGATGCAGTTACATTTAAACACTCTACACACACAAATTGTACCAACTGTATTCTAACAAGCAGCTTTTACAACATATTTTGCGATACTCATTGGCAGTATTAATTCTTAAATATTAACAATACTCAGTCACTCTTTGGCAGTTGATGTATGGTGCAGTCGTATTCTGTGACGATAAATGTCTTCTACTCCAGGCCAACGTGTGAGTTAAACTCTTAAATTCATGGTATCACCTGGTCATGTTCCTTTCAGTACTACATTGAGCAATCGGTACATTGAAATTATATTCAAAACATGGTTGGAAAATACAATATTACATAGCTTTTCAAGCATTAAATGTACGATTTCTTCATCAATGCAGCATATCAGTTCAGGAATAGCCTTACTTTTTTAATTGTATGTGGTCATTGACATTTTACCATTCCTTGATGACAATTTACTGTTCACATTACATCTGAATATGAAACTGTTATTTTTTTTAAAAGCTTCCTTATCGAATCTAAATGACCTCAGTATTACTTAATGTCACTCATTATTAGTATTCATCTCGGAACTTTTTGCAGGCATCAGACGTTTTAATACGGGGTATATATGGCACAATTCACTTGTTATGTGTAATTATAATGGATCACGATCCAACTGTGATGTACACATCATCTCAATGCAGCCACACCTTAAGATAATACTGGACATCTGTTTAAAAAAAGCTTTATAGCTCATCGGATTCCTCCAGCCTAAATAAGATTCTGATTCTGATGTACAGAGGTAGGGAACGACATGTGGTGCTTGGTGGGAGGGAATAGACAATGGCACAATACAGAGAGGAATGGTGGGGGGGGGGGGGAGTAACTACGTGGTGAGAAGGGCTCGTAGGCCACGAGGAAGGGGGACAAAAGGTCTTCAGCCTATGCTCAGACGGAGAAAAATAAGTTCCGAATGAAATGAGAGGAAGGGAATGGGAATTCCAAACGACGTTGGCAGCAGAGCGGAATGAGCGAATTTCCATTGAGCAGAGAGGATGGCTTAGGGATTCGACAAGAGGGCAAAGGGAAGGGAAAGGTAGGCAGAGTTTGACGGCAACAAATGGGCAGCTCACCTAGTCATAATGAAGGGTAATCCATCTATCTTAAATACGTGGAGGATTTGTGGAGATACTGAGAGCAATCTTATAATTGATCAGGAATTGGATCAGAAGCCAGTGGAGGGATTGCCGTCAAGGGGTCTCATGTTTAGGTACAGGTGCAAAGTCGGCTGCCAGTGACTCGTGTGGATCATCCGAAGTTTAGCTCTGAGAGATTTGAAAGCTGTAGAAGAAGATTGCAGTCATCCAGGCGGGATTTGGGCTGTAGAGAGAGAGAGAGAAAGCTCTGGATCAATGATAACTTTGGGGTTTTCAAGTGGACAGTGAGACCTGGGACTTTTTTATGATGATGATGATGAGAATTGACTTAGTTTTTGTAGAACATACAATTGCACAAAATATAAATTGATCCAACCGTCGATAACGCAGTGAATATTCCCCATGTCCATACTGGCAAAGGCCCTTCGTTTTGGAACAAAACACTACAGCAACCTATGGGTTGGATGATATAGTAATAACCATACATTGCCTCACCAAAAACATTTACCCACTGGCATATTTAGGGTACATGTTTTAAATACGGATCATCAAATTACATGGATGATGGGGATTGTTTAAATTACCTACTTGATCTTTCCAAACTGCAAGTTTCCATCATTCACTCACGAATAAAGATCCCCCATTCAGCCACGTAGACCACAGCTGTCGGTGGGCACCGATCAAATTCAGTGTGGCGCACAGGAGGGCAGCATGGCCAGCACAACGCCCAGACACTTTCGTCTCTTCATTGCTGATGTTCATATAGTGCATCACATACTCATTTAAGACTGAGTTGACCCAGTGGAGGCCCAGGAAGGTTCGGATACCGCTTGCCGTTGAGATTGTGCTTAGCCAAGCGTTGAAGTCAGACCGTCGGGGTCGTAGCGTAGTGCACAACCCACGGAACATCACATCCCGATGCACAACTGTGTGTCGATATGCACCCGGTGCATGTAGACAAAGATCCTCCGTAAACCCTTCACATTCTTTTGGGGCAAGTGCTGTTAGAATGTGAACATTTGCCATAAGTGAGTAAATTAGCACACCGATGATTTTTTAGACGTGTTAAAATATTCAACTTAGATTATCCCATTTGCAAGGGTGTCCAGGATGCCAATTGACACACACAGTAACCACGTAAGAACATTGACACAAACATTTAAAATCAACCAATAGCAGTGGTATTCAACCGACACTGCTGAAATTTTGTTGTTCTAGAGATCGGTGGTGATTCATCTAATCGTTTTACATACAGCCACGACAATTATCATCACTACCTCTGAAGTGCAGGGCTACTATTATTATTAAAATAATAATAATAATGTATTCCGCTTGTTTACCCAGAAAAACTTTACTGAATCTCAAGAGTCAATATTCTGGCGGATCCTGTCGAGTATACAGCAGTAGGGGGGAGGGCGATGTTGCAACTTACAAGTAATCCCAATTGAGCAATTTGCAGATAATCTCCAGCGTTTGCATGTTTGGCCAAACAATTGATGCCGTGCGTGTATTAGTGTGGGGCGCTGCGGTGGCAAGATGTTACATCCCTCGCCCGGTATACAGGAGCTTGTGGGTTCGATTCCGACCCTGACGCCTGCTGCTGTATATTTGGAGTTTGCATGTTCTTCCCGTGTTCGTGTGGATTTTTCTCCGGGTCCGCCGTTTTTTTTTCCGCATTGAGAATCGACGTGCGTTTAGAGCATTTGGCTGCTATAAATTCCCACGTGATAAGCCACTTCATTGAGCCATCAATTGTGGCCAGGTCGCTTATGAAACAGATCTGTATTGGTCAGTGGGCCTTACCCGGTAAAATAAAAAAACATTTGTTAAAATATATACACTTTTAGTTAAAATAGTTTCAAGCCATAGAAGCGGGTCCCTTGCAGGAGTGACCATCTGGGAGCTCATGACGTTTGGAGGCAAGCCTTATGAGGGCATCTCGGCAAGGGACATCCCGGAGCTGCTGGAGAAGGGGGAGCGCCTCCCCCAGCCACCCATCTCCACCATCGACGTCTACATGATCATGGTGAAATGTACGCATCTCACCTACCACTCGGTGATTCATAGCCACAAGTCATCCGAACACGACTTGGTGTCAGTCATCTGACTGGGTCGTGATGTTGCACAACACCTCAACACCCCCCCTGCCCACCCCGTTGGAAGGTCACATGTTCAACTCAAACATGTGACCTTTCAGTGACCATTGGAACGAGCACCACATTGTTGAAAATCGCGAGTGGTTATCCAGGCATATGGAATTTCACACCAATTTATGATGGAAACCAAAGTTAAGCACCGTCCAGAAATTGTTTGATCCTGAACACTTTTTACGCTCGTGAGTCAAAACTTCTGACAATGATGATGGAGAAGATTTCCCTGCAAATATCCTAAGCTCCATTGTTCGTGAATGTAAATTCCACCTTATGTATTAATGGCCTTGCATATGTTTGTTTATAAAATTGGAGGTAAGATATCATCACATATGGGAACTAAGATGGTGATTTGAATCTTAAACTTGAGCTGCGAAGCCAATAATATTGTCAGCAGCTAATTTAGCAAAACTGAAACGTTTTAAATGATTGCATTTAGTTTTCTTTCGTGGAATATTGGTTCCTTTCCCTTTCTCAAAAAACACGACCTCGTGTCATGATTATGCACGGGTGTGCGTCTCTTACTCTTGATCATCCATCGTTCCCTACTTTTGTAAATTAATATAAAAATATATATTTGTTGTATGTAGAAAAAAAACACGTTACTCAAATCCATGATGCTGTTTAGCTGAAAATAATCCACTGTTAATCGGCAATTTAACACCATGAGCAGATGTGCTTTGATTCTCAACATGCTCAAATGAAATTGGCGCTCACACTGAAATCTCAATAGCAATTAAGTGCAGGCGATAATCAAATGAATTAGATTGGATTGTGTTTATTTTATCTGATAGTATGGCACTGGCAGAACACTCGGTTCATATGTGCAAGATTATTATTTTAACTCCTAGTTCGGGGATCAACTCGGCCGATGGTATTTTGTGGAAAGTCAACGGTGATTATCACGTGAAATCGATGGCCTCTGTCATAATAATGTGGAATGTCCTCCGTTAGTTAAATTCCACCAAGAGAGATGGGCACCACTACATTCGTATTTGAGCAGGAAGTCGCTTTTTTCATTTTAGTTTAATCTTTTGCAACCAGACATTAGCGCACATTAATGTAATCTGTGTAATACATTCATGAATGATTACTTTAATTATGGTATGAAGAAGTAAATGGAAACTAACATTTTAATTATATTAAAAGTCTTATAGCTACTTAAAAACATATGGCCTTAAACACAGCTTGTGATAATACAACTCAAATGCAAACTTGTTTCTGAATATTATAAGCCTCATTAGAAATACACCGAGTCGCCGATGCAATTTAACAGTTAATTTATTCTTAATCTCATATGCTGCCTCATTTAATTAAGCATAAATACATTTTAATCCCTTCAGGGCTGGTACAGAGATATTTTGACAGAAGTTGGTCAGCACACAGACCCCATACCAAGATTTTTTATTGTAACTCATAAGCCACTGTGGTATTATTACCCATCTCATCCGATCAATGCACACTTAATATAGAAATATGTTCATGTTATTGCTACATTAAATGGCACAACAGTATATACACACATACCGTCGTCTTTAAAAAAAATCAGACTAACATCAGTGGTGAGTGATATTTGAACCGGTCATGGGCATCATGAATGTCGTTTACTTACCCAGATGAGAGTCCTTTGAGACGAATAATCTCCTCCTTAAGGGAGGTCGAGAGAACCATAATGATGACGCTCTTTTTTAATTCCTTACATCATTTACTGGGGCAGCAACGGGAATTAAACTATTGACTCCATACATTGACCATCTGATTATCCAAATGGCTATCCTAGGAGTAATTACTGGTTTAATGTCTGCATCGCAGTTTGAAAATGTCTTCGGTAAACGTAACGACAAAGACCTCTTGGTAAATGAATTCTGAACTGCTCTCAGACGGGCTGCAGTGGTCGAGGTCAGGGGTCAGCCACCTGCGGCTCCGGAGCGGCGTCACGGTGGCTCTTTAAGGACTTCTGCTTCGTGACGTCGTCGTTTATGAAGGACCTGCCACCGTCTCGTATACACGTCCATTGCCACTCTTGACATTTTGAGGGGTTTTATCTTCTTGTTATTTTGGTTTGCCGACCCCTGGTCTAAAATGAGGCTCATAGACTAGTTTAGAGAGTACAATTACCATGAAATGTATACAATTAGAACATCGTGATGCCTTTATTATTGCCAGAAATGGGAAAAGCCTCTTCATTTTTCATCAAATGAGAACTTATTTGTGGAAAGTCAAAAGTGGTTGTTTCGTGGATGTTTTCACCACAGGCTCAGAGCTGCCAATGGTAATGGGCACCACACAAATGGTTTGTTTGAGTAGGGAGACACTTCTTTTTTATTGAACAGACGCCTCATGGGAACTTATTTTCAAAGTAACAGCATTGATCTATACATTAAGTGTCTTTCAATGGCCATAATCAGCATGCAATATATCAAATTCCACTCTACAGTGTCTCCTTATACCACTCTCTTCTACATCGCTGCAGCACTCGGCTTCTTACTTTCATTAACCTCTGCAGTCGCGTTACAAAAGGGTAATCAGTTGGAACTGAAATTAGCTTACCTTCATAAGAGAGTGAAAATTTAGAGCACTATTCGTTGGCCTGTTTTCTAGTCTCACAAAATGGCCACTTTCCACAATTCATTTTATATTGAAGATGTTCTTTCTCATACACAAATACTGATTTATATTTGTTTAAAAAAATGCTTCCTCAAATACTGCCTGTTAAAAAGAGGCTGATCACATACTCACACACTCCCATTGAGACACCCCTTCATAACCTCACTCAGTCAACACGCACTCACCCATTACCATCATGCCGTGAGTCACCGAAACCTCGACACCCTCACACGCTCACACGCCTACCCCCTCACCACAGCACTTGTCAAGGCATCACCCGTCCGCTGTCTCGTGCCCTCCTGCTCAACTGTTTAGGTCGCGCCGTGTCATTGTGGAAAAAGGAAGTGCCATGTTTGACAATGCTGATGACTACATTTTAAAAAGATTGGTATAATGCCACCCATTAGGGCACTCAAATGCGGGTGTTAAATGCACACATCAGCAAGACTGCAAAGAAGAGCTGAAAAACAGTATCTCTCTAGACATCTCTGACAATTTACAATATGCGCACGGGTAGCGTTGGGATTTGTAGCGTTGAGATTAATATTGTAAGAGCCATCGTGCACGACACGCTGCTGCATATTTTATTGCAAAAGTATAAAAAAATATATAATCTATTACATTTCATGGCTATTTTGAAAATAATGTCAAAGCACTTGTTCTTTTTATTGTCATATTTTTTTTAGTACAGATAACGAAATAGCAAAGTCTGACATTACAACCAATGCCACTTTATGGCTTTTCAGTCGCTGGGCCTCTACAAACAACGCGATGGATGATGAGGATGATGATGATGGTAGAATGATTAAATTTTATGCGATTTCCAGTCCCTTTATGAGTATGTTAATGTCCCCCTTGGTGCACACCGTTATTATAGCAAAGGGGTAATGCCCATTAAGAGAGTACTTTCTCTCCGAACAATATATCACGCCAAATATTACCCATAGCCGAAGGTAGACACTCATAGTGAAATTTCCAAGAGGGGGGAATGATCTTATCGACATGCACTGTGTCCTAAAAGTTGAACTGGGCAAGCATCACTCACTGAAATGAATCCATTAACAGATTCATGGCGAGGGCTTTAAATGTTTGGAATAGCGCCTATTGGATTTTTGTCCGTAGCATTCAGGATAAAACATGAGCAATGACGGGTCACTTCTCTTTGGGTCAATGTTGATCCATTGTAGGATCACAGATGTAAAACAGAAACATGACAGAGAATGTTATAGAAGAGGGAGGGTCATCGAGCGGTCTGCGGTCTTCCGGCAGTGTCGTGAGGTCACTCACGGATGCAGGCTGCCCGAGTGGATGTTTGGGAAGTCCGAGTGGGATGATTGTGTTCGCTACAAATGTATGCTTCGAATGTATTCAATTGTACGCGTTTATTTTCATTACTGTATTCCCACGATGCAAGTCATGCATAGCACTGCCCCGTAGCACGCACTGGAGATACACACCTTTGTTTCGTGATACGAGGAGCACAATAGTGCTTTTGCTTATGCTGTTTTATTTATATTTGTGCAGTGTACATCATGGGACCTCCTTTGCCAGTACCAACATATGAGAATAGGTTTTTCCCCTTTAATCTGGCAACAAAACACCAAACTGAAACCTTTTACAAGGAATAATGTATGCATTAACCACAATACTTGTGGTCAAAATGCAAACAAAAAACACACTCCGTCATCAGGTGGGAAAGCATGGTCTGCTGCTGATGCAGACTGTTTTAAAACAGTCTGCTGCAACAGCAGACCATGACGGACGCTTGTGTTGCGCCCGAAACGTCGTGATTTGTTTTATGTTTATACCTATGTGACTTTACCGAAAGTACCAAAGAGTATGGATTCCTGCAGTCACGAAAGCTTCAAATCAAGATAAAAACACATACTGTGATAATATATGCATTGTCTTTGAAACTGATTGGTCCCCACCAGAGACAACTTTCTTTTGAGCCTCGTCTCAAACGGTGTTAGCCCAGTGCAGTCTAGTCACACCAAGTACAGTAGCCTAGTTTGCAATAGCAATACATAACCTCACATAACCTTCAACCAATGTACACATTTGGACCCTGTTGTTCTGTATTATTAATAACCATACTCCTTTCCACATGACTGTAAGTGTCATTTCCCATTTCATCTGGATAAATAAAACACGCGTTTGTGTGCTTTGATAGCAACGTCATAATGATGGTTGTAGCAGTTGAATTAGTCTGTTCTCCTGAACATGAATGCACCGTGACCCAATCTGTCTGTTTTTGTGAACCCTAGGGGCTTCTTCAGTCGGGCTCTGTGTTGACAATTGGTGCTTGCCAGTCTGCGTCTCTATGAATACTTAATCCTGCCTGCCCGTGTCCCTCTCTCTCCCCGTGCGAATGCTGCCTCTCCGTGCCTGCTCAGGCTGGATGATTGACGCTGAGAGTCGGCCTCGCTTCAAGGAGCTCGCTGTGGAGTTCTCAAAGATGGCACGTGACCCGCAACGGTACCTGGTCATACAGGTGAGCAGTGACCTCGCCCGGCACAACATTCTGGCCTTCCGCCACCTGGAAATGCACGCGTAATATTCGGAATTACCACCGCGCTGGTTTGAGCAGTCGTGCTGTAAAGATCTACGTTGTGCTTTTCGGGTTGTTTTGACGCAACACGCAGCACAATGCGAATACGGATCGGAGAGCTGTTTTCTGTGTTTTAAATGTCTGTTGTTGAATAATTGCTGTATTATTTTATTATTTCCCTTCTACGTGACTTTACCGAAAGAACCAAGAAGATGAATCCTTGCAGTCACGAAAGCTTTAAATCGAAAAATGTATCGGTGGACCTAAGCGAGTACTTGTATGGAAAATTCCACATTCAAATGACAGGAATCAATAAAACATTTAAAGTTGTCAATTTCTAGAACAACCTCTTGTCGACCTCCCACGTACAGCGGCACCAAGTGTATTGACCCTGAAGGGATGATGGGCTCGGTTGAGCCTTGACTGGGACTTCAACTCAAGAACTTCCGATTGCTAGTCAAGTCTTGTGGCACAGGACTACCCATGCGGAAATAATTACAATACAATGAGGATTGATGAATGTGTATTCGTGTAACTACATCTCATGATGTGAAGCAAAAGTGGGTGACACACGCTCAGAGGTAAGTCAATAGGGGAAGTAGAATGGATGGAGGTGCATCATAGGTGGTGGCATTTGTCTTCAAGGCATATTCTTCTTAAAGTATGAGTCACCGAACATTGATACTGCATGATTCCTCCTGCAGTCTAAATGAAGATCATGATTCTGACAGGCTGGTACCAGTAGCTGATCTGCTTGCAGACGAGTTCCCCTTTGTGTATATGTCAGGGCTGCACAGAGTAGCACGGGATGCAATTCTTGCACAGCAGCAGCAAGCACGCGGCTCTCCGCGCGCACCTCGTTCCCAACTTCGTCACACGCTGCCTCCTAACGCAAGTGCCCTGCAACATCCCAGGAAGCCACCAGCTCTCGACACAGGCCGTACGTCGCTCCGCACGCAGCTCCCCGCGGTGCCTCAAAACCGCTGCTCCGTCCAGAAGTTGCGGCCGATCAATCATTCCGCAAGCGGCCCAAACGCCGATGCCTCGCGCAGTTCCCACTGTGGCATCCCTTCGATCAGTGATGACCACTGCTCATTGCATTCTGCGGTCGATGCTGGTCAGTTGCCTCTGCTGCGGCTTCATAAATAGCTTTGACATTTCGGCAAGTGGAGGAAGAGGTGAGATAACGGTGCATGAAGGAGGGGGGTTTGTGTGGAATAAAAGGGTCTAGAACCCTTGCCTGTGTGTTGGTGACGAGAGTGTCCGATGCAGTGCCATCATGTCCCCTGGTTTTTATACCTCATCGATGGCCACCATGTGTACAGTGAATGACCACAAACCTGCCCAAGATGCAAACAGAGTGGTGCTGATGCTGTGAAGTGAGTTTGCGTCTGTGTCTATGTGTGTCTGTGTGTGTCTGTGTGTGTCTGTGTGTGTCTGTGTGTGTCTGTGTGTGTCTCTGTGTGTCTCTGTGTGTCTGTGTGTGTCTGTGTGTGTGCGGAGCGGTAGCGGAGTGCTACGAACCTGGCGACCCGAGTTCGATTCCCGCTCACGGCCAAAATCAGTGATGATTATCTGAACCAGTCCTGGGCCTCCCCTAGGTTGACTCAGCCTTAAATAAGTACCTGGTGCGGTGTGTAAACATCGCTACTTGGGAGACAAAGGCGGTCAGCCGTGGTGTTGGTCACCCACCCCATCGTGCGCCGTGCCGGCCTTCACAGGTGCTGTAACAGGCTATCTGGTGGATGTTTGTCTCTGTATCCGCTGCCTACAGGGAGATGAGCGCATGAGTCTTCCCATCCCATCGGACAGCCGCTTCCTGCAAAGTCTGCTTGCGGAGGAGGACCTGGAAGACTTGGTGGATGCGGAGGAGTACCTCATGCCGCAGCAGCCGTTCTTCAAGGGCAGCTCCAGTAATCGAGCCAGCACTGCCTCTGACGTGGTGAGGAACGGCCTGCAGCGAAGGGAACAGAGAGAACATTTTAAGTCTTGAAACGTGGCAAAACGAGATGATGTGCTGCATGTTCATGTGGCTCGGGCTTATTGTTAATAAACAGGCCAGAGCATGTCAAGAAGCGGTCTTAAAATGCACCCATTAATACCCATTGGGTTAATCAAGTGCCTCTTTGATCAAGCGAGCGTGGGGTGGTGCTCATATCTTTTTGTGACTTTGATTCATGGGTGTAAACATTCTTATGGTAGGGACGAGTCTCACCATAACATAACCACTGCTGACTTCCTACTCAGTGGCTCTTTTGATCTGAAATTAACGATGGGCTGATTTCATTCCTGCTCGGGTTTTGACCTCACAAGGTTCTGATTGTGAGTCGCGTGCTGTCATCTGGGACCAACCAGAAAGTGTTGGTTTGATAATGATTATTTAAAGATTACTAAAATACGCTGTCTGTGATTAAGTAATTAGAATTTTACCAGCAGCTTGAGCTCGGTCAGAAAAAACTACACACACGCTCACAATTGGTCGTAAGAAGATTTATTTCACGAATTTCATCCCGCGAAACTCCCACCTGTCTGGCAAGACTTTGGAGAGACACTTTCTATTCAGAGTCCCCGGTGCCATTATCTCACTTGTGCTTGATCCAACGCTTCTGTTATGTGCTATTGAAGATCACTCAAGATGTTTTTGGTATAATATACTTAATTGTATAATGAACGTGTTGGCTAGACCTGAAGCCACGGAGTTAAAACTAGTGACTAATTATAATGATTGAATAAAGTATGATACGTTTATGTACAGTGGGTTTTTCGATGGTCTCACTCTTGTATGTGACCTTGGTTTCACAAAAGAAGGTATAAACCATTGAGTTCACATTTGTTAAAGAAGGGTAATTCATATAGTTGCAGGGATCTTTTCATATTCGTGCCAACAAGGTTAAACGGTTGCACTGATCATTGTATGAGCCTTAACAGCATATGACAAACTAAATGTTGATGCATGTTAACGCATTCTACCCTGGATGTGTTGGTACGTGATCTATTTCAATTGCACGTTCTGCATGCCGAAAGCGTGTTGCAGAGTGTGCGTCTTGTCATATTGACTGCGCTAAGATGCCAGTCAGCACGCTGCTTCAGTGCCCTCTGCATGTTGGACGATCTCAGCCAAGTAGGAATCGATTGCCGTATAATACTGCGCCAAAATGTGTGACAGCACTTTGTTCCATTCACACCGATCTTCGTGATTAATACGTCCAATGAGTGTGATTTTCGCAATTGAAAGTTAATTCTGCTGAGCTCTGGACCTTTTTTGTTTCATGCGTTCTGCTGCCCCTAATTGAAAACGATTTGACTAATTAGCTCGGTAAGCGTAAGGTATGGGACTTGACTAGCAAATCTTAAGACGGTGTTGTTGGTTGATGCCTCACATCAGTCGCTATATTCATGGATAGTCTCTTAAATCCTTACATGGAAGCATGGAACTTTGATCAAAGCGACATTCCAAGAAATTCGAGCAAATAGCTACAATTGTACATGCTATTTTTTTATATTTCTGTTTCCGAGGATTTTGCGGTTTTAAAACTGAATTTCATAATGAAGAGCCTGTACTGTTGTGATTGGTTAGAGAAACCCAGACGGTTGATTCTTTACCATCGCCACAAGAACAAACGTACATTGATTGGAATCGTGACCCAGAATTTTGACAATTTGTCAAATTGTTAGGGGGACCAATTGTTATATTATAACCTTAATGTGGGCCACTGTTTGCTGGTGTCATGCACCCAAATGATAAGAATTAAACAATCTCCAAATAAACGTTATAAAAATAAAATGAACATCCTTTAACTTTACTGTAACTGCCGTGACATTTCGACTCTTGTGGAGAATGGATAACATTGATGGGCTATTGTCTCATCAAACAAAAGGCATGGCATTTAATTGAAATGGATCTCTAGACTTTACACAGGCAAATATCATACAACATTAACAAGGCAAGGGATAACCGAATATCAATACAAACATTCTGAATGGAATCCCAACAAGAAACACTCTAATTAATTAGTAAAATGGCCAAAGGAAGCTTTTTGAAATTCACTTGAGAATAGACTCTAGGTCGTTAGACTAAATATAATTTAAGATATTAAACATATTATGTAGACGTAGCGGGGAGGTTGAGAGGAAAGGCAGTTAGTTGCATTTACAGTCTGGCTTCGTGAGGCAATTCATCTAAACGTATATTCAGGTGTTATCGACCAATTAATACGTCTTTACATGTGGGAGGAAATCAAAGCACCCAGAGAAAACCTATGCGTGTGAGGGGGAAACACTCTATCCCACATAGTTGGAACATATACATGTATGTTGAACTTCTTTCGCATTGTACATAGCAAACTGTGCTAATCGTAGGTGCGGGAACAGGTGGAGTCCACATTTTTGCTGTGCCACCTTTTCCTGGCAAGCCCAGGGGATGCGACCTCAATGTCCATGTTTCACCACAACCCTCGCCTCCGCAGTGTTGGATTACAGGCCACGCACATAGCCACCACTATGAAAACCTTGAATATTGGACTTGTGTATGCTGGTGATACTGTAGTTGATCGAAAACATTGCACATTTAATCTAGGTTGTGAGACTTGATGATGCACTCACTTGAAAAACAAATCCATGAACTTGTAAAATGGTTTTGATGTGTATATATGGCACCTCCAATTAGCGCGGTTGACTACGTACGGTGAGAAGTAAGTTCAACATACATACATACTAGACACCTCAGGCTGTGCGTTGACAAAGGAACCACATAAATGCAATTGTCACATCCCATCGAGATTACCGCACTTTACGACACTCTTCCTATTCTAGATGTGAAGCTTTCGTGACTGCAAGGATTCATATTCTTAGGTTGTTTCGGTAAAGTCGCGTAGGTAAAAAATTAAAATGAATAAAAGTAAAATTAAAATAAAATAAAAATCACGACGTTTCGGAGGCAACACAAGCTTCCGTCTTCAGGTGGAACCTATCCCAACTCTCCATCGCAGCTGGTTCAAAATGCAGCTGCTTGTTGAGTCCACGGAGTAAGGAGTTTGAGCACACTGTGCCAGATGCATTGGTTTGCAGTTGAAGAAGATCTCAAATGTACCATGGGACTCATAATCGCTTGCAACCCATCTTCAGTTAGCACCATCTCCCATCCGGTAGGTGCACAAATCTGTCTCTGGCAGGTTCCAGTGATATAATTTGCGTCAAATTATCTTCAGCGTGACGGACGCATCTCGCCTCGCCACTCTGGTCATGGTCTTCTTCGTCCAATGTCAATTCAGGCCTTAAAACTTGGGCCATTAGTAAGGCATTTTAGGAAATGAGCAATTTTGTTTTTAATGGTTGGTGGACGAATGCCGTGTGATTAATAGTCTAGAGCGCTGCAATTATGTACAAAAAAGCTTTATCGGTAGGTGCCTTGGAGTGGTTGTTTGATGAAAGGCACAGTGTACCTCAGATTTATTATTATGCAAAAGGCATAAGGTCCACAAGGGATTGAATCTGAAAAGAATTGCATGTGATGTCCTTATTGACTGCCTCAATTAATTGACTGTCTGAATGAATATGCACAAAGAACCGTATATTCATTATCCTCAAACAGTGGACTTCCTCGTATCTGTGACAGTTGACGACGTTCGTGGCCAGGATCTATCCACAGCTTCATCAAAGCTGCGTGCTGTAATCACCAGCGAAACGTCACAGTACGCAAGTTGTCGGTTTACTCTCCAACACACACGCGGTGTGCTCAAGTGGTAACTAATTGGCACGTTCTGTTTACGTGACAAACCTTACTCATTGGTCTGTGTCGGGTGGTGGCGGGTTAACGGCACATTGACATTTACGCGATCTAACCAAAAAAAACTACTTTATTACTGATGACGTCTGTGAAGAATGCGAGTGAGGAAGCTGATCTTTTCGTCAACGTCAAGAAAACAAACGTGATGTCAACCAAGGAAGCAAGACGGATTCAGGGTGGAAGACCAACAGGTGGCAGTGGGGGAAGAGTTCCGTGTTTCTAGCTTTCCATGCTTGAACATAATGGAGATTGCACAGAAGAGACGACTGGTGTGGGGAAGATCAGCCGTGTCAGGCCTGGCTAATGTCTGGAGAGACAGGGCGCATAACAAACCGAGACTGATGAAAGGACGGAAAAGGCGCTGGTGCAACCAGTTGCTTTGTATGGATGCGAGTCGTGGGTAGTGGGTGAGGATGAGCGAGAGGAGGAAGATCAAAGTGCTTGAGATGCGGTGCTGGAGGAGAACGTCGGGAGGAGCGCGGGACAGCCAGAAGGACAAACGCCTCGATCCTGGAACGGGTCGACGCGGGGCGTCTTCTCCGTTGGAAGTCATCGCCCGTGAAACAACGACAGAAAATGTCCCCTCTCCGGTCGTGTAACGAGGAATTAAGTGCTGGAGAGAAAAAAAACAATGGCTTGGCATTGGAGGAGGTGGTAGAAGAAGAAGCGGTGGGTCACTGACGAGATGTTCGGACGAGGTGAGGAGCTCTACTGGCTCCACTCTTCCCGAACTCCGAGATGCAGCGAAGGATAGAAGAAGGTGGAAGGCGCTGGTCATGGATGGTTCTCCAGAGTTCATACCCGGCCCCGTGGCACCAAATGACAAGGCGATGACACACTGGAATGGTCCCTGGGAGTTACTGCATTGACGCCTCTTACCTGAGACGGCTCAATGCGTAAGAGGAGTGAACCAGAAGTCGCAGCAAACCACGCCTGTAATCTGCGGTCGTCTACGTGGGCAAGAGGAATAATGTTCACGTATGAACGCGGATATCGTGATCTCTGAACAGTGCCCCATATTATTGCAGATAAGAGGCATCTCGCTGCACTGCGCTGCCATGTACCCCAGTAGTTGCCCTTGCTCTGTCGAGACAGCGAGAGTCTCAATCCCCGAGGACAACGGGCAGCCAATTTACCCACTGCTTCAGAACCCCATCAGCAAGTGTATGGCTCTTTGTGCATTGGTAATGATTCACATTTTGTAAATCAAAAATTTGCAACTGCGTATTGTATGATTTTTTTTCTTTCGATTCAACGTACACATCTACACTTTGGCATCAAAGTGTATTGTGTTTAATGAGCCCCTAGTGGTTCTCATCGATAGCTGTGGATCTGAGCTCGTGGTGAAAAATCTGCATTGCCATGGCAGGAGCCATTCTCTCCATTGGACAACCAATGTTGATTTTCTACAATTTTTTATTTTATTGATTCTGAAGGTGTGGGCTTATGGGCTCTGTAAATGAAGAGTATCTTAACAAACTAGGGGGTTTTCTTTATTTGTATCACTGTTGCTGGCAGGATGATATTTCTGTGATTTTTTTTAATGCAGAAGACAAAGAGACTGATGGACTGGTCTTTGTTCAATAGAGTTGGTTTAAAAATGATCGGCCATGGAATGGCTTGGCACTGTTATCATATTGGAAGATTTTACATTTGTGCAAAAAGGATTATGTATGTATTTAAAATGCTATTAAATTCAGATTTATATAATATATCTTCAAGCTCTGAAAAATAGAGATATTACTTCAAATGTGCAAAATATAAGGTATACTATATGTGAATGTGTTATTTCTAACAAATGAACTTTAATAATAGGGTGCAGTATATTAGCTTACATCAGTCTAAGTAATGGCCACTAGTGGATGTGAGCAGACAAGATATATATTCTATATAAATGAAGACCTTAATCTGTATGTATGTCTCAAAAACTTCGAGCGTACTTCCCAACAAAGTAAAAGCTGCAATTTTGTACATATGTAGCTTTTAGGAAATAAACAACAGAAATCTGAAAATCTGAGATTTGTTAATTTAAGGCCCCCAAATCTCTAATTTCAGTGCCCCACGAACATGTTTGTGGCTGTCATTAAAAACCGTTTAAAATATGATTGCGTTTTTTTTCGTTTGGTAGAGCACTAAACAGCAAATGCAATGAAAGTGAAAACCATTGTTCGATGTTTTGGAGATATTTCGGATTGAAGCGGGTTTGAACGAAAAAATACACATTTTCTGATGTTCAAATCTGAATAATTCGAAAGCGGTAAAAGATAGGAGCTTCCCCTCATCGAGTATTAAGTTAATTAATTGTGTTCTTTCTGTTCGAAAAGAACAATATTTCTATTCAGCGGTTTCCAATGGGTACGTCTTTAAATATAATAAGTCGAATCAAGTCGTCAACAATTTTCCTGTTTTTTTACGGAAATATACTATTTTTTTTATAGTTGTTAGTGTCTGATCGTAAAAAAAAAGCATATTTATCCGGTTAATTAATATATTTAATGGCATTTTACCTAGCAAAGATAGGCTTTATGAACTAGTGTATTATAATGACTTTCAGGTCTCTCACTATAGAGTGTTTATGAGGTACTCTATCTCTTACATAACATGAATTGCTCCACGGGAGAAAAGAAGGCACGCTTATATGTTACACGAAGTTTCCATGAACATAAAAGTGATATACGTCATCAATACAACATATTTACACTTTGAGTCTGGCAAAGTAATTCAGAACACTGCAGCAGCAACAACAACAACGACGTCAGCAACATTTCCAGAGATTCCAGGAGGCATTGCTTCAGTATGACATGAAGTGGGCAATGTGCTGCAGTTGTATTTGCAGGAACGATGCATTCACGAGACACCACGGCGAGACGCTGAGGGCTTTAGTTCAAGTTGTAATGAATGTACGTCAAACATTTTTTGCTGTGATAATTGGAGGGGCGGGGAGTTATTGAATTACCTCCTTTATAATTAATCTAGTTCGAATGACTCACGTGGCGTGGGAAGCGAGCAGAAGCGGCAAAGTTCGATGGACAACGTCGTGAGAATTATTTTATTGTTTTATTTTTATTATTTTATTATTTCCATTCTACGTGACTTTACGGAAAGAACCAAGAAGATGAGCCATCTTGTGTTTTACCTTGGATGTGTAAATTATGCTCCAATTGTATAACTCTTGCCAGTTTGGTGCTGTGGTTAAAGCATTCAACTTGCATCCCGAATGCTTCAAGTTCAGGTCCCAGTTTTGGGTCGACTCGGCCAATCATCCGTTTGGGTAGATACAATGATTCACTACTTTGCAGCAAGAAAAATTAATTATTCTAAGGAGTGATTGGACACCTGTCACAGGAATGTGGAATTTGCGATACTGGATTAAGGGCACCAATGAGGGGGCAGATTTTCCGTAAAATTATGCAGATTTTATTTTTCGATTTAAAGCTTTCGTGACTGCAGGGATTCATCTTTTTGGTTCTTTCGGTAAAGTCACGTAGAAGAAAATTATGCAGATTTTATCAACTCCGGAGGAGTAATGGACTTAGTCAACCTCCAACCTGGATTTAAGCTCACAGCTTTTCCAGACATTTGTTCTACTGTGGAGCTTTGCCCATATTTCGTAACAACTTACATGTATTTTTTGATTAGTAGAGGGACGGCAAAAAAATCACAAATTGGAAACTTGGCATAGTTAATATGTATTAGAACATGTTAACAAAGCAAAGGGGTTCTCCTGAAGGTTATGTTTGCACCTCAGAGAGTCCAACCACCATTCCCTTTGCACGCTTCGTCTCAACGCAACACCGAGCTGATTCAATTAGGACCTGAACCACATGCATATTCATCTGAAGAAGCCTCGTGGTTTGCTCGAGCTGATTAGGAAGGCTCCGTGAACCGGGATGCATGATACAGTAAGCGGCATCAGAGGCGTTGTCTGCGGCCACACACGCGGCCGTGCGTGAGCATTCGCAGCCATCGGCCAAGAACAAGCCTGGTCTGGCAGCACTGTTTCTTTTAATTTGGCTGTAAAGTGGATGCGATTTTGGAGAAGAGAATAATGAAAACTGTGGACCTAGGGTTGCACCCTCTCTTGGTTTTTCCCAAGACGTCCTTTGAGGCAACTGTATTGGCGGCTGGAGGGGCACTGGTTTTGATTGGGGGGCCACCACACCAAAGAGCTAGGCTGTGTATCGCTTTGTGAGCGGCCAGTGCTGGCGATTTCACATTTTATACAGGAAAATAATGTAGTAGAGCTTTGGCACGCGTGCTCTTGACTGAGCGTTGACTGCAGGTACGTGTGCAGATGCCACACTGACATCAGGACCCACCCTGCCTTGCTCCTGTGCATCTCATTGTCTTTCCTTCACCCCCTTCTGCGAGTCTCTTCCCTTGATGTCCACGAGTCAATGAGCTGTGCACTATTTATCTCGTTCTTGTAGGCATGTGCTGAATGACCCGATGTGTCCTGGCCCTTTGCCGCAGGCCAGCGCTGCCTCTCAGAAGGACAACATGGGAGCTGCGAAGGAGGAGACGTGGGGGGGCAGCGTCTTCCTGGCACGCAGCTCGTCCCAGCGCTCCCACGCCAGCGAGGCGTCCGCGTGCAACGTGTTTGAGGAGTCCGCGTGCAGCAGCGCTGTTGCCCATCAGCAGCAGCAGCCGCCGCAGCCTCTCGGCGTGAGAGGCCGGCAGGACAGCACTGCCCAGCGCTACAGCACGGACCCCACGCGCTTCCACTCAGAGCCGCTCCCCTCTAAGGTGGAAGGCGGTGACTATGCCACTCCAGCCACAAGCAAGGCCATTCCCGGTTTGTGTGGTCAGTGTTTATTTTTTTATCTGGATTACATCCAGCATGGGGGCACACTTGTGTTTATAGTTGGGCGACGATGAGGCAGAGCTCGAATCGGAAATGAGAAATGCGTTGTTCAAGGTGGTGGTTGTGTGGCACAGGCATCTAGCAGGTGGCTGTGTAGTTCGTGGGCTGATTCGATGTCAGAATTGTGAATTGAAATGTCTTCATGGCATGACCATGATTCGGTTGGACAACTAAAATGTAATTTGGGGGCAAAAAGCAAATAAATTAAAAAGAGACTCAAACGCTTTATCAGTTTTAAGGAACTGAATCAGCATAACTGGATTTTAATTCCAGAAGATTAAATCTAATTATAGTACATGTTTCATGACCAGGTTCTCATCCTCAATAAGATGAGTTTTGTTCGTCTTGATTAATAATATTAAAAAAACAGTTGGGTAGTTTTTTCTCAAATTCGAAGCAGACTGTTTCATGATTTCTTCAGATGATGGATGTAGAATGAACATAAATTGGTATATATTTTTTTTACTTAAATAGCTAGCACAGAAAAGAAAACGTTTTGTTTGATATGCATATACATATTTATTAATGTTTGAAAACGAATGCCTCTGCAAGCAAAAGACTGCACTGATCAAGTTTACTTCTTGGTTCTTTCGGTAAAGTCACGTAGAAGGGAAATAATGAAATAATAAAAATACAACATAAAATAATTCTCACGACGTTTCGGCCACAACGCAGGCCGTCATGTAGAAGGGAAATAATAAAATAATAAGAATAACACATAATAAAATAATTCTCACGACGTTTTATTTTTATTATTTTATTATGTCCCTTCTACGTGACTTTACCGAAAGAACCAAGAAGATGAATCCCTGCAGTCACGAAAAGCTTTAAATCGAAACTCTCGAAGTATGTTTTTATTTTAGCCTGACTGCTTTGTCTTCGTTTGAGGAGTGCTTAAGGTCGTACTGCAGTATTAGCATTTCCTTTGCACTCAAGACATTAAGAGAAGATAGTTTGTATCTCCAGACTTGTTGTCAACCCCAGCGCCCTCCTAACAGCCATGCTAGCGAGGGACTGGATTACAATCAACGAACATTTTCTGTCGTTCTCTGATGTGCGTGGGCTGTCGGTTTCTTTTTATAGACACATTTGTCACCATTAGGGTCCCCTCCATGGCATCAAAATGCTGTCAACATCGGTAGGGCAGCTGCGTAAATCCAGCCTAAAAATCGAGGAATTGGCATCGCAGGCAATACCGCAGCACTATGCAGTCGATTTCAATTCTGTGCTTTTCATGTATGATTTAAACGGCATCCAGACGCGAGCTCGCTCCCGCGGTGTTGGACATTATGCAGTGTAATGGGACATGAGGGTAGATAGATAATTTGTTCAAGATTTAATCACAGAAGCTGTCAGCGATACAACAGAGTTTCTACAGAGAAATTAAATGCGAAGATTGTTTTTGTGTGTATACATATGTCCACGTTCAACTAAAAAATCAGCAGGTCACGAGTTCAAATCCTGGTTTGGGACGGGGAGGGGGGTTAATCTTGTAATAATCTTTCCTGGGTCAATAAAATATAGGGATTCAGCACCACCGGTCATCCTGTCAAGAACCCGTTTTTTTTGCAATAGGAATATAGAATATCTGTCACTTGCGTATGATCAAGAATAGGGACGAGCATTTCCAAATCCTCTTTGGAGCATGGGGAACACTTTATCTACGCGTGTATACCTAATGGAGGTGGAGCGGTGGCGCAATGGTTAGCACGCTGCAATGTGAACCAATGTCCCAAATAAAATTTCGCCGACTAAAGCAAAGCGTAGACGCTGCACGATATCTGAACTTAGGATTACCTCGCGAGCACACATTGACCACTGTGGTGAAGTATGGTCAAACAACCCATTGACGTGGCATGGGGAATACCTTTATTCATCAGCAGATTAACAAAAAGGATGAAACTAGTGATTATCTGTTGCTTATATACAAATTTTCAACCGATACATTTAGTCAATCAATTGTGAGCCTCTGTGTGGCTCTACGTTTAATGAGGTACACTTAAAACTCTTAATAAGGAAGGCACAATTGTGATTGGAAACACAGTATATACCGATATACAGCTTTAGATTGCATACTCTCACCACCGTTATCAATAACACTCCTTTATACCATATATAGCAGGTTAAGGTGCCCTTGACATCACGAACAGCTTGTGAGCATAACCTGTATTTGCTCGTGCAAACCGGCTCATTCGCGAGCATGACGAGTGCAAGGCTGTCCAACCAAACTCGAATAGAGCCAAGGCAGTTGAAACCTTGTGCAGCTTTCTGGCTGTATTCTCAGCAGAAATGCAGAATTTACAACCCTGCGTTGATGGATTGGCAGAATTCTTACTGCTGGATAAAGCGTGGGGCACCTCTATTATTTTGGTTAACCTGTCTAGGGCAGCATGGAAACGTGGGAGTAATGTCGAGTCGGGATGCATAGTTTATGACGTCAATTAATCGACTAAAGATTGTAATTGACTTCACATTTCGCGAAAGCAGGAAACCCTCCACAAGCCACGCCCAGTGTGACATGCCTAGTGATGATGTCACCATGCCCCGCCCATCACCTCCAATCTAGCGACATGTGTGAACAGTTATGATATTTTTGGTCGAGTAAGCAGACCAATAATAATTGGTCGAGTAAATTGATTACTTAATTAATCGGATTACGGCCCAGGTCTAGATAAATGTTCATGTCAACTATTGTAGATGAGGCATAGCAACGCAGACAGACATTCTCAACCATGCTGATAGTAGCGGCGATATTGGTGGATCTTATTATTCATCACTTGTTATTCATGCCTGTTGACAACAAATAACTGTTGCTATTTGAGCAGAAGTCCATGGTTAAACGTATATCATGAGGATTCATGCTCTACTTCTTGGTCACTTTATCTGGAACAAGCACAGATACTAAGAATAAACCAACTGTGGATAATATGATATATTTTTTATCAATTGTTGCCACAAGTAGTCACTAATAATACAGCCATGGATAATATAAGATTATATCTCATTGAGTCACAAGGTCATTTCAGAAGGGACAATTCTTTCATGTTGCAGAAAACCAGGATACTAGGAGAAAACCCGTCAAAAGCCACTCAAAAATAACCCTCCAACTATATACAGATAAGTAGCAAATCCACTTATTGCACTTGCAACTTCAGGCTACCTTGCAGCCCAGCAGTTTGGAGAGTATCACACGCAAGATGCAATCTGTGTAATCCATCAACACCCCCCAAGCTATATCCGCCTATTGGATTTAGCCTAACCAATTTTTCAGATGGCCGTGGGCTTATTGAACTTTGTAGAGCCTAATCAGAAAAAAACAACTCTGCCAGCATCAACTTATAATTGACAAACTTACCAGATTTGCAACTTGGGCAAAGTTTGTTTAAGAAAAAAACTGCAACAGTGGGACAATCGTGTGCCAATGTATGCCCGAGTCGTGGCAGTCCCTCGGGGTTCAAGGATGACGCCCATCAGGTTCAGGCTGCTATTGAGCGGGCTGAGGAGTCCAATTCTGGATCCGCAGACCTTTGGGCATTGGGGCCCCACGCGGTCCCAGATGGAAGTGGGATCCTTTCTCTTTTGGCGGCGATCCGCTTCGACATCGAGACGGTGGATCTCAAAGTGGGCCATGGCCTGGTGGATGCAGCAGTGCCCTAGGCGGCCGGCAGCCTGCTGCCCCTCCCGTACTTGGAGGCTGATTAGTCTGCACTTCAGGGAGGACTTTAGGGTATCCTTGATCCACTGCAACGAGAAATTGAACTTCTTTCGCACCGTACGTAGTCAACCGTGCTAATTGGAGGTCACCCACCTGCATAGGTGCTCGGTGGCCACTGTGTGGCAGTATATCAAGTAGGTTTACGACGTATGTGTTATCCTCTGAAATGCACGTGCTTTCACCAGGTTCTCTGTGGTTTCTCCCGCATATTAACATACTCAAGAAGGGATCGTTTGTTCGGAACCGAGCTTTAAGCAACTGGTCCTATAAGACGTTGTTGTGTATTTAAAGTTCCATTAATCCGCAGCATGACTTGCACGTATCTCATGCAGCATCTTCATGGCCATGTTTGTGGCTATAATAAATGTTACCCAGTGGGTTGTTAGCAGGCTTTCAAACGCCCTTCATCAGCAGCCGCATGCTTCCAGCCAATACAGTGATTATAAATACAGTGAATGTGTGATTAACGGGGATGATTAAGTAATAAATAAGACATTCAAATTTATTTGGCAGCAATTGATAAACGCGGATCTGACAGTGTTGCAGCCCTACAACAGAGACTTGGGTCTGATCGCCTCTCAACGTGTAGCTCATGACTGAAATATGGAAATTGCAAATTTTCTTTCTTCACCAAAGCATGTTATTTGGACTACTGCGATGCCAGTGGTGCACATGCACAAAGAACAACAACGCAACACATTCATCAATAACACCGCCCTTAAAGGGGGAACTATATAAATATATAATGGGTGACATTTCGAGCAATTGCTCTTCTTTACAGCAGGGAGATCGTCACCGAGAGAGCATGTGTGTATGCGACGATAAAAGACCAACATCATCCACTTCGCAGTGTACATGTGATGTGTCTTATTGTTGTTATTCGTAAAAAAAAATCCCAATCTCGAATAGTGACAATTTGTGAAATTAATGTTGAGGCAGGGTTTTAGTTAAGGTTACTGTGATAATTATGGCTATAATACTAACCCCATCTTGATTTGAAGCTTTCGTGACTGCAGGAATCCATACTCTTTGGTTCTTCCGGTAAAGTCACGTAGGATGTTAACATTGCAGTATCTAAGGCCACGTGTTCCGCACCTGATTTCCAATGCTTCCCCATTGTAGAGCAACAAAGCACGAATGTCGGACCTTTTGAGGCGCACAGCTTGCACCTTGGGTGTTTCCGAACCCTTGACAATGCCGCGCTTGCAAAAGGGAATGAAAGTCGGAGTGCGCGGGCCCCGGTGGCGGTGCCTGGACCTGTCCAAACACCGGTGATGTGTCAAGGCCGGAGGTGGAGCGAGCGACCGTTTACACGTGGAAGCATCGCAGTCGACGCACAGCCTCTAATTATTTTGGTCCCCCCGGTTCCCAAAGAACCATCAAAGCAATCAAAGCCCGATGTGAAGCTTTTAAGGGAATAATATTGAAGTACCCTGGGGAGTAATAACAATAGTAATAATAATGATGAGGAATTATTTAAATACAGTAATTGCTGCATGAGTTGTAGCAATGAAAGCAGAAACGTTATTGATGTGAATATTAGCACTTTAAAAATAAACTATATTCATGACCGTATTTGGGCTCAATGTAATATAGCAGTGATGTTTCAGGTGACAGATTATGCTGTAAGAGGCTGAGTTCTTGAGTTTGCATGAAGGGCTGTAGGGTATAACTTCAACTATTTCTCTCTTTGAACAAATAATGTTTCATTTCCCCTCATAGTATTACTCAATAATGAGCTGCTGAATTATCGAAATTACAACAAGTCTTCAGCATCATCGTAGTATGTCAATGTTCATCACATAGCTCACATAGATTAGTGGTTGTTTTACGAGCAGCAGTCTATTAAAGTAGAAATATAGTTTAAACCACAACTTCTGAAAACAAAGTGTATTGAAGTGGTTTATTCAACTAAAGTTGTAGTCGATTAAAGTACGGCTGTATTTGTTTTATTTATTTGAATGTCATTCATCGCCTTGCTCACCGGTGTGTTGGAGGCAAGTTGGGTATGAAATTTCGCTGGTAGTTACAACCAGCATCATCAGGCAATTGACAAATTCTGGCAACTGGTTGTAGCTACCAGCAACGACCAGTCAAACCACATCGTTAAATGTTGCGGATTGCTCTCCGACACACAGATGGTGCTGAAGCAGTAATAGGTTGGCACGTTTGTTCACGTGACAAACTTTATGTGTTGGCTGTGTCGGGTGGAGGAGGGTCTTACGACACACATCTTACTTGAGCGGTGATCTGACCCACAAATAAATAAAAAATCCTCTAGAGGGGCCCTCTAGATCCCCCTCTGGTGGAGGGCCTTCTGCCAGCAGTGGACTGAGCAAGAAATGCGCCTGCTTCTAACAAAATATATGAACATTGTAGATCCTTTGACATCGTTTAAAAGAGTACATTGTCACTGGCGCAACAATGACCTTCAATTAAATACAAAATTCTAACGAGCTGTCCCTTTGCTTGCATGGCTGTCCTGGTCTTTACAAAATATATATTTGGACTCCCTTCCACAAAGCTGATAATACGAAATAAATTAAAAGTGAAATTAACATTCTACCGTTGGTAATCCACCAAATGTGTGAAGAATGCACTCCTGTGGATGTATATTTTCTGTTTGTGATTTTAATTTGCATATCTTGTAAACACATACTGTTTCCTCCATGCACCTCTGAGATTCTGGGTTTAAGCCTCGGGTCACCATGAAATGAGTGGTTTTAATGTGGAGTGATATTTTTAGTCTCTGCCCAATTAATGCCAAAACATTACGTTATCGTAAAAAGTGTCAATTATGATTATCCAAGCTTATTGTGAATAAACACCCATTTTACTAGGTTACAAGCAATGTCGTGCTCATTTTAACAGATATAGACCAATGTCTGAACAACATGTGCTCTATATGCAATCCAACTTAATTGCATGTCTCAGGAACCTAAATCAGTTTCAAGTGGATATGGAACATTTAATTGATGTTAGATGTAATGGGTGTGGAGTTTGTCATCAGTACGTGTTTGTGATGCAATGTAAATGTTATGATTGGTTTTTTTACCCTTTTATCTGGCAACAAAACTGACACTTTTTTTTACAAGGAGTCATGTTTGCATTGACCACAATACCTGCAGTCGGAATGCAAACAAAACACATAACTCTGATAATGTATGCCGTGGGTTCGAGCCCGACCCTGATACTTGTGTATTTGGAGATTACATGTTCTCCCCGTGTTTGCGTTGATATTTCTCTGGGTCGTCCGATTCTGCCCTCAACATTTAGAATCAATTTGGCTGCTATAAATGTTCACGTGATAAGCTACCTTGTTGAGCTTTCATTTGAGGCGAGGTCGCTTCTGACAAGTACCTATATAGCTTAGTGGGTCTTACCTGGAAAAATAAAAATAGATAAATAGATTAGAAACCTTTGTGGTACCTGCAATCTAAGGTGGCCTACTTGCATATGAGTCTATAGTGATTCATATAAAGCCATATTTGAGGGCTTCTTAAGTGTGGGAGGCCCTCACAAATGCCAGTGTGCAATAATGTGTTTTTTTATGTTACCCATTGTGTTCTTGTCCTCGAGAATTATAGGAATCTAATTTGTAACAAAATATAATGTTATTATATTGCTTGTTTTAATTGCTAAATCTTGCAGGACCATACTCATTGCTTTTTCTCTCTATATATTTACAGAATATTTCATTCCCATTGAAGAAACCCCTTTTTATTCTGACTGTTCTGCTGCAAACAACACCCCAAGCGAAGTGGAATATCGCAACACAGGACGCGAGAGGCTCGGCCCAGCAAACGAATATCTCAACGTCCCCTGGTACAGCAACACGTGCCGAGAGCCAGCACACAGTGGTGATTACCCGGGGGGGAGGAACAGCAAGCTCACGGTGCAGCAGAGAGGTCCGCTGTCCACTAAACCCAGCTACAGAAACCACAATTTGCTCATGGAGCAAAAGCAGCTTTTTAAGGTGCCGAGTCAAAAAAGCTACGGTGCAAACCCTCCCGGTGAATTTGACTTTTCGTTAAAAGTGATCCCCAATTCAAGCCAGGCTTGCGACGTTTTGCAATGCAGTTCCCTGGGGTTTCCGACAACGCAAGAAGACGTTGGCACAGCGGTAGTGGAGTCTAAACTGATCCCTTCACAGCATCCGTTGAGTCAGTGGAAATTCTTATTTCGTCCAACTAAAAGTGGCATTGTCAGTCATGACGAGAGTGGTGCCGTTTTACATGGACCTGAAAATGATGGGAAAAGCTTGAGTCAGCAGCGTGGCCTATATTCCAGTAGCACAAATCCAGGGCTGATTTGTAGCAGTGCAGAGAATCATAATATGGGTCATGCTGAAATCGCCATGGGCGAGGGAAAACCGGTGATAAACACGCAGAGTCAGGCAGAACCGATGAAACATTCACTCAGTCATGGGAACTTCTGTACAAATCAATCTGCTCAGGCCGATCATCAAGTCAGATGCCCACCAAGTTACAATGAGGCCATGAGACCACAAAACTATGACAATATTAATGTCAGGCAATCTTGTAATGGGGATCATATGAGCCATTCTCCGTCCGACAGTGGCCCCGCTAGTGGCAAGATTAGGAGTCAGTTTAGTGGCCCTCCGGACTATGAAAACCACATGAAAAAGCCCCCAAATTACGGATGCCTGATCACCAGAGGGTCATCCCATGGAAACCAGATCCACAGTTTGCCAAACAAAGTGGGGGATGATGTCACGGCAAAGCAACTGGAACAGAGCAGAGCAGCGCTGCAAGCATCCATTCAAGAGAACCCGGAGAAAATGTCTTCAAACAAAGTGCCGTCAGATCAACAGAGGAGCTCAAAAGAGCAGAGCTGTTGTTCATCAACGTCATCTCAAGGTCATCCTGTTGTCGATCCTTCACAAAGTGTGAACAAAGGGAATCTGAAAAGCAGTTTGATGAGCTCTGTCACAACTCCCGCTCCGATGAGCCAGAGTCTGATTTCCTACCCGACTGGCATCGCCTTCCAAGCTGTTGGCTTGCCCAATTACAGCGATCAACTTGTTAAGCCATCCCACTATAATGGGCAGTCCACCAATGCCCCAGTCCAAGGAAAAAATGATGTGAGCTCAAGCAGCCGAGTACAGTGCGTGTCGAGTGTGTCCAACCAACAAGAGGGACGTCCTGGCCCAACGGGAACACCTGACAACCGTGTGCATGCTTCATTGGTGTCCTGGCCCAGGCACCAGAATGGACACGTTGGTAATGGCTTGGTCAACAGCAGACAAGATGGAGGTAATACAAGCACCTTGCCCTGCTATGGTACCAGAGATACGTTGGTATGAGGGTTCTTTCCGCTGTATCGCTTCTTGTTTGAGGAGTATGTATGTATGTGTGTTGAACTTCTTTCGCGACGTACGTAGCCAACCGTACTGATCGGAGGTGCGGGGGAAGGACAACAAAAATGCAGATGCACATGGCAACGATTTTTATGATGAATGTGTGTTGGATGTCTGAGTGAGTTTGTGAGTGCACAATGTTAAGCACAGCTAAGCATTTCTTAGCGTACGCATGCATGTGTGAGTACTACACATGAGTAGTCACACATGTACTCATACACAATTAAAGGGAGTATCAACCCCTCTTTCTTTCTTTTTTTTTAGATGTAGAGGTTGAAGGCAGAATGTTCATTTAAGGACACTTTTAATAAAAAAAAAACCCAGCGAGGATTATTCGAGAATATAACCCACAACTGCACAATATATTGGTCTTCAGGCCTGGAAATAAAAGTGTTCTAGGATACTGGGAAAATCCATTGGTCTCTGTTTTCTGTCTCTCACCTTCCACAATGCTCGGTTAAGAGTTAGGAGAAAGTTGGCAGGCCCAAGTGGGAAGCTGGAAGCCGTAGCAATGGTGTTCTGCAGGAAATGAAGACCAGGGGAACACCGGCTAGGGAGAAAGCTGGAATGTTTGGTCGGGGGTGTCAGGAAGCATATTTGGATGATGCGGGGAGGAGTTTGGATGATTTAGGGGTGGGTAATGTCTGGAGACTGTATGGTAGATAATGTCAGGCTTGCGTGGAAAAAGGTCAGGAGGCCCCTGATTAAATTCTGGAGATCAATTGTTTGAATAAAGTGCTCTGAGGCTCCTCACTCCACAATCCAACAACCCTAAAATTGGCACAAGTCTGCAGCAGATGCCCAGAATAATTTCCCCTGCCTCTCTTACCATAATACCACGACTGCACTTTTTATACAGGCCATTAGTGTAAGCAAACCCTTATTTAATGAACAAAAATGCAGAAATGCAATATTTGAAAATCCATGCGTTGGGCCTCTTTACGGCAGGATGCAACGATGTGACGGACCGCCCTTGCTTACCACCGGGTCACGGTGAGCTGCACCGACCCAAGGCGATAGCATTCGCTTACTTGTGGGCACGCTTAGTTTCAATGCATTACTTTGCCGCGATCAGACAGAGCTGCGTTGTTCATTAAGCCAATAATGCGAGTAAGTTATACGAGCCATAGAACACACGGGCAGCAGAGCATGTCCAATAGGACAGCACGGAACTGTGCGCTCATTCACTGCGCCCGCATTGCCCCTCAAGGTGGTGTGTTTTATAATTGGTAATGAGATTAAAATGAGATGCTTTTGGCAGCTTATTCCAATTGCATATTAATTCAAGGCATGACGTGAAGTATGTCTCCAGTAAATGTTTCACATGAAGCGCGTTGAAGCCTGAACCGTCATTCATTGTACTGTTTATGTGCCCTGCGCTACATGTACAGTGACAGGCCCATGCCATTTGTAATTCTGCTAGCATCAACACTGCATGACCCCCAGTGTTGATGCTAGCTTGGCCCAAAACATTATAATATTTTTGTACAAATTATGGCTTGCTAATAAGTGCTGAACAGAACAAAGCAAGTCCAGATCTGACAATCTTCAGCATTGACGACGCAAGACGCCACTTGGGAATATCTGTTGGCTAAAAGTTTACTCTCAGCCCATGAAAACAATGCATTGTAATTGGGCACTATTAATGCATACACTCTATATAAATACGTATCATACTTTGGCCTTCCTTTATTTTAAAATGCTCGTTGTGCCCTCGTCATCTCTGCCTGTGATGGGAGCATTGGTTGTGGTGCTGAAAGACGTCGTCAAGCATTCACTCCACGTTATGAATTTATCCAAATCAATTTATTTCACAGAAAAAACACATCAAAAACTCTGGGTGAGTGTTGCCAAACGGAAATGTGTTGATGTGTGTTTAATTTCAGCAATTTTAAATCGAACTGCCATTGACTATTGTCAATAACAGGAACTTTGTGACTCAAGTCGGTAATTGGTTATTTGGATAACTTTATGTGTGACATTTATCAGCTTTGTATCAAAAAGCTACCTTGGGTTTCACTGGGAAACAGCCTATGAACTGTGTCCATATTCTATGGATGTCTGCATGTAAAAATCGGAGCCTACACGCTATAAACAATGCAAGGTTGGTGGGAAACTACTGAAGAGATTTAAAGTTTATTTTAAAAAGACAATAAAGAATATACATTTTCAACGAGAGCACTTACTGTGTCAGCTTAGGTATGATGTGCTGTATTTAGTTTTCAGCCATGGCATTATATTAATTTACCCATGTGTATATCTATAATAACAGCATGATTAAGTTGTGAGCTGTGTAATGATCATCACGCAACTATATTGGAATCATTGTAAAATTGCAATGCTATAGGTGGCATTTTTAGTGTACATAAATGCACAACGCTGTTGGTTATTGTATATTTCAGGTATAAGAGGGGTTTTTGTTTCACTTAAACTTATATAGATAAAATGACCAGTCAAGTACGACATTTGTTGTAATTCTTTGATAAATTATTAATAATGTCTTAACATGTAGATACACTTTGATTGGGTTTTGTTGTTTACCAAAACATGTTTCGGTACTTTACTATCATTGCATGTCGTCTGCTAAAAAAAACATTTCGACAGCATTGAGGATCTACCATTGCAGAGATATATACTAAATGGTCATACATGTAAAAAAATGTTCATACAAATATATAGCACTGTAAAAAAATAAAACATGTAAATATAGCATAATTATACTGTGATAACAAATTAAGTGAATCTTCAGTAAGACATTTATTAAGATATATATGTCTAAACTACCGTATTGAAATTTATCAGCGAAATAATATTTATCAATTACTATACATCAATAAATAACTGTAGCCAATAAATAAGTCATCATAGCACATTACACAGTTGTGGCATGAGTTTGAATAATCTTCATTTGCTTGCTATGCTGTATCCAATGGCACATTGTTTTAGTTATTTAATTGAGCACTTCAAATGAATATGCTTTGTAAATACATTTGCTTGCACGTGGTAAAAGATTCGTTCAGTATAACGGCCGAGAGTGTTTATTGACTACTGTTCATTGGTTGTGAGTTTTATGCGTTGACCACATAATTGCCAGTATCTCATGTCTGGCAGATTATTATATGAGATCAATAGATTAGTTCATTACATTTTATTTTTGCTGCGACAATGCTTCTTTTGCTGTCACGTTATTTGGTCCCAATGTGCCGTGTCTCTTGCTCATCTGCAATTCTGGCTTGATGGGTTGTGATCATGGTTTGTCGCGATGGTAAAGGAGTGTACCGCAATTTCACCGTCAAAAATTGTTTGAAATTACGAGGAAATGTATGCTAGTAAGCTGAGAGGCACAGCTGAGTTAAATGCCAAATGTACCATGACGATAGGGGTTAGACGAATTTCGATTTAAAGCTTTCGTGACTGCAGGGATTCATCTTCTTGGTTCTTTCGGTAAAGTCACGTGACAAAAGAACCAAGAAGGTTAGACGAATTGTTATATAAATAATTCCAATTGCTTTAATCAGCTTCTCATAACGCATGTATACATGTGACACATCCATTAGGAAAGTCAGGTTTAAATGCGCATTAGCTAATAGGTTAATCTTATACATTTTAAGGAGTTATGTGAGGATGGAGGTAGGCCACATTAACCAGCTAAAATCCCACTGACACAATATTGGAGTGGTAGTTGGGAAGAATACACTGCAGATTGATTTACGATAATTTGACCTTTGGAGAGGTCTGCTTGAATTTGGTCTGGGCCCAGAAAATATCAAAGGAAGGTGTTCCACAATATCACAGGACTTTATCGGTATAAATCTTGACAAATCAAGTTTTAATCGGTATGTCGCATACTTTACAGGCAAGTAATAATGCAGTCTGTGATATCATATTTTGTGATGAATTATGAAAGGCATTATTACAATCCATAAATGTGAACAATTTATGTAATTCATCTTAATCCTTTGAAATGCACGTGTCATTTAGAAAGGGTTCCTGGTAAGATAGTAGCAGGACATCCATTCCACAGTAAATGTGGCCCATGGATGATACACAACACAAACATATTAAAATAAAATGTATATTTAAAAATGAATAATAATGACGTTATGTGAAGTTATAACATGTTGAAACAATGTCATAAGGTACGATACATTGAAGGAAATTACCAAAAGGAATATTAGTTGTCTAGATTTACAAATCTCGTAGTAACAAAATATTAAACGACATGACCTGAATCGAAGTCTCATATTATGATATAACACATTCCAGTCGGATGGTGCTTAGTAAAAGAACGCTTCACAGGGGAAGACAGCATGAAGAATGTGAGTTTTGAATGGGAGAGATGACTTTGGCCTGAGAGCATTAATGCATGAATGTCCTGTTCAGGATGTTCAAATCACGTGGACATTACGTACGCTGTGATCACGTGGACTAACACGCTGGTACAACACCCGCCAAAGGCTGTGAAGGACAAGCAAAATGGAAAGAGGCATCCGTGGTGTCACCATGTTCATTGCTTGATAGTTAATGAGACGATGTTGTAACAAGACACATCCTGTACCAAGTGTCCTATGGTGGTCGAGACATTCATTTTATGGAAAATAAACTGTAAGTGTCTCCGTGATATAGTTTAAGGATCGAATTTACCACAATAATTACGTTGTGCCACTGCAGAATCATGAGATCATATTTAAAAAAGTCACAGTGGAAAAGTCACAATTTACCAATATTAGGCTTGTTTTAAAATAGTTTGTGTGATGAACACATTTCTTTAATCGGTGACTACTGCATCTAAAACTGTTGTAAGAGGTACATGTGCGTGTCTACTTTTAATCGCCCATTCCCTAAACTTCCATCTCCCCATTGTTTTACACTAAAGTGAAACTGTCCTTCATGATTCTTCTATATCCATAGTAGCCAGTTGCATTAATTAAAATGTATCATCATGCATAAAGCTTCTGATAATATAAAATGTGCATTCTTACAAATCCTCATATTCCTGCTTGGATAGTCATAGAAATTACAAACGAGAATTGGAAGGAAATACGATCATTGTTTAGGATTGAACATGGCGGTCGTAGCAGACATCTCTCCAAATGCCAAAAGCAAATACAAAGAAAATAATCAAGTTGGGCAGCACTCACCTCGCTGGCAGCTCTGAGCCATTCATAGAAATGTTGTTTCCTCGAGTAAAGGTTATTATTTCCTTAGGAAAATAAATGATGTCTTCCGACGAAGTGGTAATCAGTTTATGGACCCCAGAAGTATGATGGGTTGGATTAGCCCCCGACTGGGATTTGTAGTTGTAATTCGGGCAATCTACCGCGATGCCTCCATTTTAAATTTACGGACTAATTAAAGGTATACATTGTTTACATAATCGTTCACCTCAATATCGCTAAGCTAACTGAACAAACTTTATTTAAATTAGAATGCAATAGGCTTATTTTTATTTTTATGTTCGATTTATTTGAGGTGATTATTCCACTCATTTTTATTCATTCTGTGAGAACTTTATTTTACCAACGTATTTTCAAATAATGTTGGAAATGCCCTGCATAATTATGTACTTTGGCATCATGCATTTCGTGTGGATATGTGTGTCCTTAGCGGTTAACAAACGAGCCGATGCATCATCAAAATAAGTATTGGTTTTCTAGTTCTTATTATTTTTTTTGTCCAAAGAGATGGAGGGAGGCAAAAAAAAAGCTGATAGGAAAGACAGCTCAAAAATGATTTAGCCTGCTTACTGCAAGCAACCTGAATTCTCAAAATCAATGAAAAAATACCATTACTGTTCCTTTTCTGTATTCTTGAAATGATTGCATTTTTTTGGAACAGGACCGTGGATAATTTTGTCTGAGATAGCGTTTCATTAACAGCCGCAAGACAGCCTTCTTTAATTGCCATTTCATGGTGAAAAATACGTGACTAATAGCATATTGTGGCTTGTGAAGCCATTCACGAGGACACTTACAGAATCAAGATACCTGCAGAGACGGAAAATGTTTCCTTTTATCCACGCATAATGTGCGGCGTTTGTTTAACATTGAAATGTAGCACAATGTATAAGACCTCCCGTGCACCGTTGGATGGATGTACGTAGCCAAACCGTCCTGATCGGAGGTGCGAGCCATCGACGCTCTCTGTTCCTGTTGCGGGTGTTCACGTCTTGTTGCCATGTTTCCGAATGTTTTCTACGTTCCTTGCCTGTATATGTCTCATAGAATACTTTTATGACAGATGGATTTTAAAATTATAATAAACAATCGTTTCAATTAAAAAAAAGGCACATCTTGTTTTGCGTTCACGTTGTACTGTTAAAGTTTGTGGTGTCTTCACGCAAAATTTTACATAACGAGTAAAAATAAATTCCATCAGAAAATATATTAATTTTCGATTTAAAGCTTTCGTGACTGCAGGGATTCATCTTCTTGGTTCTTTCGGTAAAGTCATGTAGAATGGAAATAATAAAATAATACCGAAAGAACCAAGAAGAAAAATATGTATTTTTTGCCAAAAAATATGTCTCGTGCACGATCAATTTTTTTACACATTTATCTCATGTGATATAACAATGATGCAAATATGAATAGTGTGTGAATTAGAACACTGTGCACACTCATCTGGGACACAATGTCCTCCATTTGATTGCCAGCAATGGTTAACATCAGTTCCAAGTGGTATTGGAACCCATTCTGGACCTCTCCTAAGTCAACTCAGTCCTAAATCAGTTCTTTAGCACGATGAAGACAAATGCACCCAGGTGGGATTCCGGCCACATCATGCACCATACAGGGCAGCAACACTGCAGTCTGTACGGCTATCTTTGTATTGATGCATCTGCGTGTTGGTTGAGTACTAGATTTCACAGATATAAAAAATATTTTTGGTTGAACTTCCACACTTTTTTCGAACGGGCTGCTCTTTTCGTGGGCTCCCCATTATCCATGTGTGTTTTTTTTCTGAGTTGCCCTGTGTGTAAAATAAAAATTGTCATCATAGGAAGTCTAATGGTTCTTCCACTTGTGAAAATGGGCTTCCATCTTGGTAGCTCATGCTCCCTGACCTAACAGCGGAAATGTTACCGTCATCGATGCTCGGGACCACACCATTACCAGGACGTAGCTGCACATTTTTTTTCCAGCAAATTGTCTGTCTTTTGCATCTCATGTATCAATTTATATCCACTTAAATAAAACTTTATTTGGCCCATTTTGCCAACATATATTAAAACCCGGAGGTATTTCCTGGAGAAATGTCCTTGGTGTTTTAGTAGAGAGAAATACTGGTAAACCCAAAGTCATGACCAACAAGTTGGCTGAGCGAAAGAAAACGATTGCTGAAAAGTAGCTCAATAGTATGCAAAGAAGTGTGGAGAGACATGTGATGCACAGTACTCTGCGAGGAACAAAGAACAACGATTCGGAGGTAGAATTCGAATTAAAGACATTGACGTAAATTAATTAAGTCCGGCTTGGGCTTGACATTGCCGGAAGAGATGATGATCAACGGATGAAGACTGGATGACAATGACAATCTACAAACAGGAACGTGCCCAAGAGGATCACCACGATGGAGCTGGAGCACTCCGAGTAGCCCTTGTATGATAACAAATACAGCGTGGCATCACAGCACCATGAAGATTGGCAATGACATGGGGAAAGCCTTCATCCAGCAGCGGACTGACCATGGCTGTTGGCGATGTGTAGCGGTAGAAATATGCAGGCTACATTTTTCTTAGCATACTCAACTAAAATTTTTTGATTACAAGCAAAGCATTAAGTATCTGAATACAAAATCAACGCCACTTTTAGGCTAAAGTGCTTTGGTGCATGTGTCCCATAAGAAACCCATCCAACGTTTTTATCCGTTTGTTTATCTAAAAAAAACATTTTTAATTGAAAAAACTTGAAAATGAAATTCAGCACAAAAGCATTAAACATTTTCTAGTAATTTACATATTGTCGTTTTTTTAAAGGTTAATTGCCGAATAACTTAATAAAGAAGAAAACCCTCATCCTTGGCTTCAACAATAAAAAACACTATAAAATCAATGTGCTAATGGAATGAAGTAATAAACCTGACTTGCAGGAGACCTTATAAGCCTCAGTGTAGACTATGTATGGTGAATAAAGAATGTGCATTAAGGTGGGGGGTTTTCGAGAACGCACAAAAGCTCTTTTCCAGCATCATGGGCCACTTTTCAGGCCGTGTGTCTTTTACGAAAAACGAATTCACTCCACGTGTGCAGGAAATGCTTCGGCTGCTCAAGCCTGATAACCACTTCCAACGCAGAGGTAGAGGATGCAGGGCGATCCCTTAATGCCTCTGTTTTTGCGTGCATCAGCGAAAGCCGTGGGTGCACATGTGTTTTAGCAGATTTGAATAATTAATATTAAACATTTAGTGTCAAATGATAAAAGCCCACGAGGCAATGGTACTCTCATACATTCCTGGAGATGCCTACACCGCTGGTATTTATGACGACGGGGTTGAAGTGCCAACGGCAATATTCTTCGGCAAGATTAATTATGGGTATTTACTTCCCACTTCATGTAATTATACATCGAGCGCTTTTTACTGATTGGCTAGGGCATAGTCCCAGGCATGTTGGTGCACTTTCATGCAGCAATTATTGCTCAGCTGCTCTTGATATTTCCGCAGCAATGAATGGACACTCTGGCCACAGGAAGTCTGTGTGCATGTTCACTCGTCATTATCATCAGCACTGCGAGTAACAATGCGATTCCCATGCTAATGTCTGTCGTGACGTTGGACAAATGAATCGAGTCCGCTTTGCCATTACGCATAATATTCCAAATGAAAATCTTTGGAAGCATCAATGTAATTACATGTTTACATTATGGACTTGAAAGATGTAAATGCACATCTCGGAGAGAAGTGATGAGGACAACAGTTACGGCATAATGAGCCGCGGGGCAATATGAAGCTTGCAGAGTTGGTGATTGAATTCGTCCTCAAGTCATTTCATGTTGCCGTTCTGGTACAAAGTAAATGTACAATGAGAGCCGCCCATTAGAGCGCGATGGCAGGCAGCATAGGTTGCAAAATTGTTCCTGCCTGAATATTCTTAATAAATAATAAGTTGTGTACGTATATATGTACACACACAAACACACAAGGACATGTAAACGTGTTATTTTTTCACGGGTAATTGTTTCATGACAGGCTATCAAACAGAGCAGTGCCCTGAGCCAGTGGTAGAAATTCCACCTTCCTATGGCGGGGGGTGAGTCCTTGCATAGAACATCCACGGTTGACTTCTCACAGAACGGTATTTGGGATCTTCTTGGTTCTTTCAGTAAAGTCACGTAGAAGGGAAGTAATAAAATAATAAAAAAAACATAATAAAATAATTTATTTTTATTTTTATTATTTTATTACTTCCCTTCTACGTGACTTTACCGAAAGAACCAAGAAGATGAATCCCTGCAGTCACGAAAGCTTTAAATCGAAAGGTATTTGGGATTTGAATGGGCTGACTGACGGTTGCGAGGAGTTGACTGCTCTGCTGTGGAGCCACCGCAGACTGCTTTTTGTCTATGGGCAATGTCGGATTTAAAATCGGATGCCAGTGACACCACCAAGCTCAAAAAAACGACACATGCAAGCAAAATTACACGCGGTGTACGATTAATCACGGTTGGCTATGTACGATGCAAAATAAGTTCTGCAAATGCTATGAGCGAGAACCAACTGGGGAAGGCACGGTGCTGACCACAACAAAGCTGAGTGTGGTCAACAATTTGCTCGTCCACCTTTTTCCAATGCTCACACACCTCACCAACTATTCACTTAAGGCTGAGTTGACCCAAGGGAGACGTGATAGGCGTAGATGCAGCCATTCGTGAAAGCGGTCAGGAAACAAACCTGGGTCTCCTGGATTGTCGTGCGGCATGCTAATCACTCTGCCACCACTCCCCATCCAGACACACAAAGCTGATGTTGTCTTGTGCACCCCCCCCCCCCCCCCAGCGTTTGATAAATCCAGGATGTATCCCTGATCACTTGCTCAATATCATCAGTGCACTTACAACTTTACCCATTCAACTTGGGCGTAAGCTCACCATTGGTGTGGAGAGAGCGTCTGGACATTGTTGACTTAAGCTTGCGAAAATCAAAGTCTCCCAAAGCCAGTTATTTCATGGAACATCTCAACTTTTTGGCACACGGCATACGCTGTTCTTTTGTAGAGTGGTTTCAGTGCTTATCCCCTCAAGAAGTGTGTTGCTGGATACGCTATCCCTAATTCTGAAACTGTCGATATGAGTTGTCTGCAACGGTGGAAGTAGAATTGCCATGATCCTCAGCTTTACGGATTCAAGGAGTTAAATTAGACTTTTGTTTCTACCGTGGATGTGCAGCTGTCCGGCTCTTATTTGGTGTCCTGGGAAGAGACCACAGAGAATCCTTTTAAGTGCGGTGTATTGTCCTCAACTTGTCCCATTTACTCGAGATGGTGCCCTTTCAAAATCCACTGTGGGGCGAATGTGTTGCTCAGTATTACAACACGTCAATTAGCAATGTTTTAAAATACGGGAACAATTTAACAGGATGAATGGAACTTCAAACAGCAAAGGAAAACGTTGCATAAACTCGCAGCTGCTGATGTGTGGGACCCACCATGGCAGGCAGTGACAATAATGATGATTATGCTAATCAATGTGACAACAAAGCCGAGCTGAGCTTCAAGCCTCTTTTCATGAGGTTTGTTCACTGGATGTTTGGCCAATTCCTGTAAGAGTGTTTGGCTTATGGGAGGGAACTGAGTACCTAATCACGCGTGAGGACAGGGACTGAAGACTCAACTTTTTTATTTTATTATGTTTTTTATTTTATTATTTCCCTTCTACGTGACTTTACCGAAAGAACCAAGAAGATGAATCCCTGCAGTCACGAAAGCTTTAAATCAAAACTCAACTCTTTATTCACCATATTGATTCACTCTGTACACACACAGTCTGATGGGTTTTGTAGCAGTATCTCTCCAACATATATTTTCGTTTCTTTAGCCGACTTGGTCTTGTTTATCTTGAGCCCAACTTTAAGCACTCGTTGATTAAGTTAAGTTTAAATTAAAAATACACTCCAGATAGATACGTGTATAACCGATTTTCCCATCATGGCAGGTCATTTTTTAGGTACAACTGTAATCGTGACGGCTACAGCAATTAATGATAATTGTTTATTTTTATAAATCTATTGTGTAAAAAAAAATAACCACCCTATATAAAATAAAGTACATTATACATCACCGAG